ATGAAACCAGAGAAGTTGCCCCCTGTTGGACATTGCAGAAAATGGAGGTTTAAGGCACGTCAGCATTGGCTTCACTTCTCAGACCCCGGAGTTGCTGCCTGAGTAATGCCCAGTGGCATGGTGCTTAGCTAGGTGTGTGTTGGGAAAAAATCAAAATGACTAATTAGTATGCGTTTAAATGATTAAGGAGTGTTATACATTTAACAAAAGCCCATGTCCTCTGTAAGTGTCCTTGTGTGAACTTTCTGGGACATCAGGCGTCTTCAGCAGCAGTTTTGTCTATCAGGTATCAGCTGCCTGCTAAGAAGAACACTTAGTTACGCAGAGCTGATTTGCAACCATGACTTCCTGATTTCGATAAAGGTGACCTTTGTACTAGAACAAATCGTTAAAGCGTCCAGATACGTAGACTACGCTGTATGAAGGCAATTGGAGTGTGTTATCCTTTGTGACGTACAGTATATTACCCTGTGCCAGTACACTGTTGTTTGCTCAGTATATATACCAGAGGCTCAGAGACACATCTTCGAGCAGTCTTGATGCATATTCTGTATGTGAATCAACTCTGGCTCCTTCTTGCAAGAATAAATGTCCTGTGATTAATGACTTTTACTACGGCTCGAGTGAACTTTTCTAACAGTGTGCAACATCAAGAATTATTTACAGCAACCGTTGCTAACCAAGTCAAAAGAGACTGAGCTGATTTATTATTTCACCTTTCCTTTAATATTGTCAGACTCACGATATACAATTTTGAATAAAGGATCAAAATAAATGCAAAAGTGTGGATTCTTCCTTAAAAAACATGGCGCCTACATTACCCAGAATGCAACTCGACCACCGACTGTTTAGAGATTTGGATGTGTTGTACGAGTAGCAGCTGAGCCTCTATCCTGCAGCAGAGATGATCACCATCAAAGCGTGGAGGGTTGCTGCTGCATCAACACGTCACTCCCAACTTGTCAAATACTGACACTTAGTCAGTTGCCCTAAGCTTCAAACTATGACGCTCTTGGTTCCTCTCTATAGCGCCAGTTTTAGGACGTGTCAGCGACCTGTCCGTTTCCACTCATTACATGTAGTGTCTTTTTAAATTAAACTTCAGTTTTCAAAGGAATAAGGTTTGTATTCCTGATCAGACAGAGTTCTTTTTAGCAGCTTGGGCGGCTTTTTCCAATGGTTTCAATCAGAGTGTAGTGTTTTGCGCGCTACTTTAGCGATTGCTGAGGGTACTTTTTTTTCCCCGATGTCATCAGTATTTTTTCTAATTTGCTGGAAACCTGGAGCTATATGACCAACGGTTGTTATCATGATCTGAATAGAAAACAGTAGGCCTGGAGGAGGAGCTATTGTAACTGACTTTACCAACAGTAGTCTCCTGGACGAAGTCCTGTGCTTGCTTGAGCCATCCATGCCTCCCCCGCTCCCTCTCATCCACTCTGTTTGGACTATCTCACTCATTAAACTGCGTCAGTCGCTCTGACCATGTATTAATGGCGTGGTTACTTTTACATTGCAATAGACTGGGTTGGCTCTTGCTAACACTTCAGCATTCATCATGCTGAGTGATTGTACGCTCCTTACATTTATAAAAGTAAGGAAGAACTTTTATTTCCAAAAAAGTCAATCAAAACAATTGTCCAGCACCTACACTTTAGTTAGAAATAAATAATTGAATACATTATGTGATCGTTTTACCCATCAATCACAGAACTACTTTACTGTTATGGCCATATATCATTACGATTACTCACCATTTAGCTGTTAAACTGCTACAAGCTCTGTTTCTCACCATGGATTCATGTCAGAGATCTACAATCATTTAATATATGCTATAATCTTTAGCTTGGATCTAACTAACCCTAAGTTTCAAAGCCAATCTATCAGGTAACTGAACAATCAAGCATTAATCTATGAACTGTATTCTTAACTGCATATTAAAACAAAAGGAGACACTAAAAGTGGAGCAGGTCATCAGCATTATGTGGCTGATGAGATGTTTTGTATGGAATGCCATTTTATATATTTATTCATATGGCCATATGAATAAATATATTTAAATCCTGAAATAAATAAATGAGGTAACAAATACATAAATAAATATAATTGTATAAATGAGTCGGTAAATAAATGAGTTTTTATCTCTAAAGGATGTTTTCAAATGACTACTTTTATTTGAGGGGACACATTTATTTAAATGGACTTTTATTTCCTAATGCCACATCTGTCTTTTTCAAATATAACATAACTGTGTTCGGAATGACATACTAACAGACAGCATATTACATACAGCAGACTCCAGCAGTATGTACTGTATACTGCCTGCTAAATGAAGCATTAAGTATGATTCTACCAGCAGACTGTTCATACTGACAGAAGCTAAAGCAGGGCTGGTTTGCAAGACATCTGGTCTCAATGCACCCAGAAACGATGCATTGTGGGGCAGTTGAGTATGTGAACTAAGCTCACATCTCATACTCAGAAATTTTGCTAATGCAGTATACATGTGGGCATTTTTCGCGAACACAAAATCTAGTGTGAAACCGCAATACACACAATTAGGAATCGTGTGTTTGAATGCAATTTTGAACACAGCCTATGTTAGCAGCAATGCAATCTGGTTGCAGTGGTTGAATTTCAAGAGGCACGGTGCCACGTTGGCCACTCCTCATTTGGAGGACTCTGAAGAAGCCGGTGTTAGGGTTTGCGATAATACGGAGCCCTGAATTGAATGAAGTTACTGTTCATCAGACCCCAAATGAAAGAAGAATGACCTAGCTAGCGCACCACGCAGTCCTCACTCCCTGTTGCTGGGAGACTACTTCATCAGGAGGAGAGCAAAGACAGCTCTGGAGACTAACATCCTATTCTTGTGCTGTTGCCTTGGTCTGACTCTGTGAGATAACCACGCCCCTTTCATTAGAATATGGAACAGATGGAAATAAAAAGAACAAGGGAATAAATGTGGCATTATGAAATAAAAGTCCCCTGAAATGGATAAAAGTAGTCCTTTGAAAAATGACATTTTATAAATAAAAAAACAATTTATCTATTTATTGAAATGTAGACTCACTTCAGGCATTTCCTAATTTTGAGAACTGCTGTTCTACTTTTGAATTGGACATTCTGAAGGAGACAGGACTGAAGGAGCTGAAGATGAGATGCAGGTTTGAGAGACTCAGGAGGGTTAGTTACGCTGCAGTGAAATGAAACTGGAAAGGAGATGATGAAGCAAATAGGTGAGATTCTGTGAGGTGCCGTACCAATCTGAACTCCTGCAGTTCAGTCCATCAGACCCTGACGTAAGGACCACCAGCTCTGTGTGTAATCACATGGAAATAATATTACTGGCTTCAGATGTTTTCTCTTACAGTAGCTTGCTTAGTTATTTGTCATCACCGCTAACAGCTTGTCTATAATTACACACAAATGTTTCTACTCTTATCTTGGTAATCCAGTATAATGGTACAGAGACCAGCTTTTCACCTCTGCACACATCTACTCAGCCATGATGCAGAACAGGCCATGGTTCAATTAGCCCACAGGTTAAAGGTGGAGCTTTGTTACTGGCTGGATTAAATAGAGGTAAATGACAGCAAGGCATTCAATCAGCCCGGTGACATGATGAGAGCCTCTTGTAAATATCATCATCTCTCATCGTGATGTTTCAGTGTTTAGTGTCAATTACAGCAGTGACATAAATGTGTGTTTCTGATATGCTCACTGCTGCTGAGGAGATGAATCCTTTGGTTAAAAACAAGTTCAATTTATAGTGACAGGCGTACATTTTGACATCAGGAATGCACTTTCTTGCCATCCTGTATGAAGACACAAACATCTGCTGCCTTTGTGAGATATATTACACATAATCAATAACAAATGTCACATTTAGCTGTTCTTTTCATGCACAGAGAATTGGAATAGGGTAAATAAGCCACTTGTGTTTGTGCCCCAGGAGCATAATCTCCACACTGGAATTCTCAACATCCTGTGTCTTTCTGCCAGCATGTATCACTGTCCCACACTGCCAGCAGTCTAGAGGCTGAGGGTCCACATCCATGTTAGTGCTGTAATGTTCACTGTAAAGAAAACCAAGTTAACACATTTACCAACTGTACAGTTAGCTTATTCCCTGTTACTGAAACATTCAGGCCTCATTATTTTTCTTTACACCTCTGCATTAGTTGTGTCGGAACTGGTTAATGCTGAGCTGCACCTGAGCTGTTAGGGGCATCTGTTGGTCTCAATGGCCACTTAGGCACCCGTCCCTGCTATAACGAGATTCACAGGGCTGTCATACATCATTGTCTGGGTCCACAGAACTCAGTCAATATTTTAAATATCAAACTTTGAGGAAAAATACAGTTCATTAAAGCTAGAGTTGGTAATTTTGAAAAATGAGCAAGACTACACTAGATTCTAAACATTTTCCAACCGAAAGACCCAGCTCAGTGTTGCCAACTCTTTTCTAATGAAAGTAGTTAGCAGCACTAGCTCCAAAAGTCGCTAAATCTAGCAGGAATGTCACTAAGTGGGCAACACTGACAGCATACTTACATACTTAAAGTATACAATATGTGACACGTTGCATGTCAATGAAACTACACTAAATGTCTTTACTACTTATTTCTGACTTACAAAGACTTCTATTTTCAACCGTTTTTCGTTCATTTGCATTGTGGGAGAATAATGTCAATCAACAGTACACGATGTAATGTACTTTAGTTTGTCCCTTTTCCAGTGCGATAGTGTGAACTCTGCTAGTTGCAGAGAATGCTGCAACTAGCTATATTTGTCATTGATTCATCTGCTGATTATTTTCTTGATTTATCAGTTAATTCACTGACAAAAAAATTGATTATTGTTCTGTCGATCACAATTCACATAGTCATGTAATCCTTTCAGCTCTAGTGGACACACTGCATTATCAAACCCTACGTGGCTTTAGTATGTGCAGCCTTATCCAGAACTTGTTTGAATAAAAAAACAAGACACCACACTTTTTAAATTTGACAAAACAGAAGCTTTATTTGAACACTAAAAAGGCACAAGACAGAGGTGTCTCTGCTTTTTGTTCCATGGCTGCAGCTTTGTTTTTGCCATGTGCCAGTTCTACATCTAAAACAAGCACAGGGCGCTGTCTAATATCTCCACATAAGTCATATGAAACAAAGTATTTGGCAAACAGTCCCTCGGGTCTGGCTTCACAGTAGGAAGTGTACCGTCCACCGTTTCTCCTAATCTCATGTTCTGCTCACCACCTGCCATGCCATATGTAGTATGCACAACATAGAGAGACTCATTTTAAAACAACAAGTCAGCAATGCCTCGACTATAAACAATATTATCCAGGACAGCATTGGTCCATTTACAAATGCAATTCACAGCACGGGCAGCAAATCATAAACATTAAATTGTACAAAAAAATAATCTCTTAAATAAAACAAAGCAGACAAGAAACAAATAAGGAATGTTTGATGTACATACATGTGCCATTGTGGTCGCTAATAAACAAGTGGTAATAAATAAGTGCACAATTCCACTTCTTCTTACTTGCCTTTGCTCCCAGTCACATTTGAGGGTAATGAACCGATGACCCAGGACAATGGACCAGAACTAACGTGTCATATATTCGACACAATGGTTTTATTAGAATGGGGAATGTGTTGCATCACAAAACCAAGACTGTCTGTCTGCTGAGGTCACTGAACTGATCAGTGAAAATATTACTACATGTCATGAGTGCAAAACAATGCTAATGTATTTACGGTGGTTAGAGTGGCTACACGTGATACTGAGCAAACTCTTCCCAGAGGTCTAGTTCAGTCACAGGCCGTGAGGGGACCTGCTTTAGTGCACTTATTCCACTTTCTTACACAGTGAATACAAATGTACAGACAACAGTCAAACGTAAAAGTGCTACAGTGATAACGACTAAAGCATGACCAAAAGGTCAAAAGAAAGATTGTGTCATGAGGGTAGCGAGGAATCCTTTGCAAGTGATGTTTCCTTCAAACGGTGAGTAACACGATCAACAAGCTGCTGGAGCTTTCAGTCAATGTCTCAAGTTCAATGGAATTCAACCTAACATGTAGTCAGAAGGCTAGCTATGTTGGGCTATGACTTTGTTATTACAAGCTCCGCCTGCAAAGAACATTTGTCTTTTGTGTCTCCAACCAGCAGAAACAGTTGTCAATGAGCTTAACACTTCACGTAATACATCTTTCCAGTTCTGTGTGGATGAGAAGCTCCTGTAGAGACGATCAACAAACTACAATGTGCTGCTGCCAGCAGGGCTACCCAGCTCACCTGGTCTTTAAAAAGGGAAAAGAAATCTTTTAGAATAATTAACGATTGATAAAAACTAAATGAGTTGTGTGGGTAGAGGGTTCATGAACTTTTTTTGGCTTCTGAAGGGGGAGCATGACAGTAAAAAGAGCTTGAGTACCACTGAGTGACGATAACACTAGTCACCAAAAGAACAGCTGAGGTGGCTAATGTTTCAATGCTATCAGATCATCTGGTGTTGTCAGCTCATGAATTATCATATGCATCGTTGGGGATATCTGTGACGTGTAAAACCTTTTCTATACAGTCAAAACCAATCTGGTTCTATTAACGTGTCCCTAGTGTATGAATCCAGTCCTGCCACTGAAGCCAGGTTCCTCAACACTATGTAAGACTTGAGTCAAATATAACTTACAGGATAAATGTGTTCCTTATTGTACCACAGAGAATGTGTGCATGCTATTACAAATGGACAGAGACAAAGACTCAGGACCAGGACCAGGCTGAACAGTCTGGGTTGGAGGAACAGCAGACTGTCCAGAGTCGGGTCAAATAGTGATGCTGTGCTGCCGCAGTTTGGCCACAAGGAACTCGTGTGTTAAATTATGTCTCGTGATTATTCCAACAATCTGAAAGAGATGACAGACAATAACGAAGCAGACGCACCATTAGCCACTGTATGCTGTACTGAAACATAACAACGTTGTTAATTGGAGTTTCTTTCTTTTGTCTCATGATGGAAACACTGAGTTTAAAACACTTAGTATCAGCCTTTAAAATGACGCTGGAGGGACTAGAACCATCATCATTTGGAGATAGGACAACTCTTTGGGATGACTACTTACTTCTCCAACAGCGTTAACCACTGGGAGGTGTCGCAGCCCCATGGTCCTGAACAGGTTGAACACCTGGGAGGTGTGGGTGTTGGGTGACACTGTGTAGGGACATGGGTTCATGTAGGGGGTGACATCCTGGGAACACAGGACACATCTGTTTTTTATTGACTCATATTTCCATTTTTATTGAAATATCAAAAAAACGTTTTCAATTTGTTTCTATACCACATTAAAAAGAACTCGGTATTCAGACTGGTCATACCACTATCATGCGGGGGTTGAGCAGGGCCAGGTCCAGGTCATGGATGTCAGGGTAACGTGGGTAATCTTCAGTCATCTCTGCATAGGACAACCTGGGCTGAGTGGCGCTCTGAATGTATAGAGACAATCTGTCACGAAAAAGACTCGTGCGTGCGTGCGTGCGTGTGTATGTGAGAGCGAGAGAGACAGACCGACTGGTTTTCAGCGTAGCAGACCCCTCTGATGAGCAGGTTGACCAACTGGGAGCGTAGGATGAGGCCGTGGAAGGTGAGTGGTCTGAAGCGCTCCTCCATGGTCCACTCCTCACTGGGAGACTGATCTGGGTACAGGTTGGGGTATGGAGCATGTCTGCATGTGGACAGCAACAATACAAGAGTCACAGTCTCACTACTACTGACTTACTGACACAAGACGATGGCCATATTTAACTTGATATAGTATTCACTTTTATAATATCATTTTTTTATATTACCACATAATATATTTAGATTATTCTACTTTTGTTGAAGTATGGAAGATTTTAAATGGCTGGTAAAAAACAATCTGACTAAGAAATAAAGCAAGATACAATGCATGCATTCCTTATTGTTTGTTAGAGTCTCTGCTGCTCTCTGCTGGACTACATTAGAACACCTCTTCACTGTGTTCTCTGTGTTGTGATTTGATTGGAGCATGGAAAATAATGTCAATATGAAAAACAACTCAATCAGTTAAAGACAAAAGGCTGAATAATTGCCCTTTTAATATATCTTCTCATTTAATTATGACTCAGTGAATTCATACATAAAAAGCAAGTAATCATGTGCATCATGTTTCATTTGTAGATTTAATTAGTTTTATTTAAGCATTTGAAATCTTCCGCATTTGATGATACATTGATGATGATGATGCAATACAATAGTGTGTACAGAACTATATAGTGTGTGTGTGTGTGTGGCCTACCTCCTCTCTAACATCTGCTGCAGCAGGTCCTCTCCCTCCTCTGCTGGCTCTACCACCACGTTCTGTTCGTCACACACGTTCCTCAGCTCGCTGGATGGGTACGACTTCATGGACTGGCAGCGGCGCCACTGTTCCCCCGCACGGGACACAACACTGGATTTCTAAAGGAGGATAAGTTTGCACACTTTGTCTTGATGTCGAGAGGGGTTTCGACATCAAGATCCAGATCCAGTCTAACAGCCACAAACACTAACGTAATCTTAAATTAACATCAGCACATTAAAGTCCCTTTGGTGCTTCACTTATGTTAGGAGTTATGACAATAGCAAAAGGCTGTTTTCATAATTCACTTAAAAGGTGTATTAGCCAAATAGAAAGTGTTTTTGTCATTGATTGATTTCATTAGAAAATGTAATGGATTGTTTCAAAATGTGCTGTTCCTTATTGACGTTAGTTACTCATTCAAATGTTATTGAAATGCAGTGCTGCTTGGTGTAGGACATGCTGATCTGAGGAGAGGACAGAGACATCTTATTGTCTCTGATCACACACCTCTACCTCCACCCACTGGTTACACCACTGTTGCTAGGGTGGCAGCATCATTAGAAAGATCTTTCACATCCACAAGGTCTGCTGAGATGTCCTTGGGCGGGACACTCAATCTCTCCTCTGTTTGTCCGATTCCCTCTGGAGATGAAGCTGGGCTTTGATGGCTAAAAATGTTAAATGGCACAGGACATACCTTGAAGCGGATGTTGTTGCTGACCAGGATGTTGCCCTTCATGAAGTCCCGTTCGTTCTGCCGGTTTTCAGTGACCACAGGGAAGGCGTTGTAGACGGTGGTGCGCAGGATGCTGACTAGAGACTGGACCCGGGTGTGGGGGTACACATAGGTCAAGTTGGTCTCCATGATATCACTGGCTCTCAGCCTTGATCAGATGAGGGGAAACAAAAAAACACAAGCACTGTTAGAATTCACCCAGTATGGGTCTGTAAAGAGGAAACTCTTGTCCTGAAGCTGCTGAGAGCTGATATCCAATGTCAAACCTGGAGAAGTGGGGAACTAAATGCTAAATGGACTGGACTTATATAACCCTTTTCTAGTCTTCCGACCACTGAAAGCAATTTAACACTACATGTCATCATTCACACACTGATGGCAGGGGCTACCATGCAAGGTGCCACCTGCCCATCAGGACTCTAACATTCATACACACAGTACAGTAGGTTAAGTGTCTTTCCCAAGGACACATGGACATGGACTAGAGGAACCGGGGATCGAACCATCGATCCTGTGATTGAAGGACGACCTGCTCTACCACTGAGCCACAGTCGCCCCTACAAATTTAAAGAAGACAACTCAGCACTTGATGGCAGCTCTAGCGAGGCTAAGAGGATCAGAAAGAGTACTTCACTGTTGTCCAGAGCTTCCAATATGAATACAGCAGCTTACACATCCTGCCCAGAGTTACAGTTGGATTCCATTTTTTAGACAGGCTGAAGATCCGGCAGCCAGACAGACTGGAAATGGAACTGCTGCCTTAATCCTCCATCCTTCCTGATGCCACATCCATGCTGTCCATCATCCACTAATAAGTAACATTCTCCATGCTTATGGGTGCACATTATACAATTTCTAAACATGATTCCACTTTCACATCATGTTGATCATAACAGCCTTATGTATTCCTGTATTGTAACTAAAATGTGCTAGTTTGGTAAACTTGGCAAAAAGAGGATGATGTGCGGTCGTTGTCCCCGGTAACCTGCTGCTTTTGGATGAAGACAAAGGGAGAGGATTGGCAGGAAGGGGCGGAGCTGAGGGACTTCATAGTGAGGAAGGACAGTTTAATTGAAAACCCTTTTCAGTGTGTCGGACTCCAACACCCCAACAGTCCTGCTGCTGGTTGTATGAAATGTAACAAACTCAACTGTAACTGTGGAGTGACGTCGACATCACTCTGATTAAAGACGACAGGTTGAACAGACACCTGCTGGTAAGGAAACGCCTTCAGCCCTTGGTCTTCTAGTTTGTTAAACTACAAATCTTACTTGTCCATTTCAACCTCAGTCTCCCACTCCAGCAGCGGCACTCCTCTGAGCTGGATGTGGATGTCATAGATGCCCTTGTTGAAGAAATCTCCAGTCCACTTGGCAACCTGACGATAAACACAAAACCACTTACCACATGAGCCCAATAGGAAGCACATGACTGCATCATACACACATCTTCACTACTCAAGACTAACAGAGACAAACATGAAATCATTTCATGTTGTTTGAATTAAAAACAGCACGGTGGTTGATGGTAGAAAATGCTGAACTATATAACATGACAGTACCATCAGAGTGATCATGATGGGCAGCCCGTATGTGATCTCATTGGTGGATTCAATGAGGATGACAGTCAGACTGATGGTCATTCTGACCACGCCTCCGAGGAAGGCGGCAGCTCCAATGAGAGCAAAGGTCCCCGAGTAGATGTCCATTCCCAGTTTCCTAACAGAGGACAGACACAGAGTAAGGACCAGTATCTCTCCAGTCAGAGGGGGAATGTACAGTGAGGTTATGTGTGGTGAAGTGTAAAGACTTGAACAACAGGCTATCTCCCACAGTTCAAAGCTCAAAGCCTGTGACAGTGGAGAAAGTGAAAGAAAGCAGATTCCACCATGTGGTGAGGTTACTTGGCCCCCTGACCCAGCATGGGTCTTTGTTTAGTCATTTGGGGTTTTCATTTCATTCATTGGGAGTGTCACCTGATGAATGCAAGTCACATATCATCTCTCTTAACTCTGTTTCTGGTCTCCACCAACTCCTGAGGGGAACATCTGTCTCTTTGTCTGCTAAATGCTCCACTGAGTTCACCAGCTAGTCTCTAACTGATAACACGGGTCATTTGTGAGATCATTTGATATTTGTGATATTTCATAGCCATTGGGATATGGGGACAGCCAAACTTTGGGTATTAGAACATGAGTAAAACATGGTTCTTACACTTTGAGGATGTTGGCAACCAGACGTCCAAAAGCCGCCCCACAGAGCAGTGAGGGGACGAAGAGACCGCTAGGTACAGACACACCGTAGGTCCAGCAGGCCAACAGGTAGTACAGCAGGAAGAAGACTGACAGAGTCACAGGGCTGAAGGTACCTGATGGGAAGAGCAGCAGGCAGGTCTTCATTACGACAGTCAGTGTATGGACCACCTTAAAGTGATCGGTAGGAAGCCGGGAGCATTTCTGGGTCTTATGCAGTTTTCTACCACACTCGGAGAGAGAGCTAGAGTAGACCATGGAGAGATAGAATATGATTCATATTCAATTTTCATAATTTATCTAAAACATTAAATTGGTATATTGTGGAGGAAAATGTATACTTTGCTAATTCTCCTCTACTGTGACATTAACTATTTCTATTGTTTGACCTTCTTACTCTCATAGATAACACCTCAAGGTGGAGGATTCCCAGGGTAATAAAAGACAGATGTCTAGTGTGACACGGCTCAGAAGAGGAAGGGGATGAATGGAGGCGTCAATGGGCAGCTGGAAACTGCTGATCAGTTGTTATAATGTGAACACATGCTGGTCCCCCACCCTGCGCTGAGGGGCCCTATAAGTGAGAGGGACACTGCACTCTTGGCTCGTCCTCATTGAGACTACACTGTACTCTGTATGAGGATGGAGCCTTCTCTGCGCAGGGAATAAATACTCCAAAGACAAACTTCTATTCTCAATGTTTCTTATTTCAGTATTATAGGACTCACTCGGTACTATTAAATCGTTTTTTGACCACAATATTTAACGGATTTTGTAATTTCACCTACCCACTCATTGACTGTGCCACGTTTTGATTTGCAGAAATGGGCTTGGCTGTATCAGTACATGCAGCTCTGTGTGCATATGCATATCAAAAATGTAAAAGGTCCAATGTGGGAGTGTGATCAATAACGTGTTTGACTTTATTATACTGTTGTCTTACAGTAATAACAATGATACTAATAATCCCAGCAGAACACCACCCAATAAAACTACAGAATAAATACAGTAATGAAAATGTCTTATGTGCCAGGAAATTCAAGGGAGGGGGTTGTTAAACTAACAAAGAGCTGTTCTGAATGTGTGTGTGTGTGTGTGTGTGTGTGCTCATCTCACCATCCTGGTGGAAGAGCTGGTGGATGGCAGCCTCCTGTGGGTTGAAAAACAGCGTGGCCATGTCATTGTAGGTCTTGTTGGTGCAGAAGAACTGTCGAATGGTTGAGTTGATGTCCTCTCCGCCAGACAGCTGAAAACAGAACTCACAACTTAATATGAGAAGCTAAACACTTGTGAAGACTTTTTAAGATCAATTTTAATACCACATGGAATGTCATTTCATACAAATGTTACCGTCAAACAGTGAAACTTCTGTACTGTGAGTATTTCACAGAATAGTTGAGCGGAGTACAGTTTAAAGAGGGATTTTAATCAAATCCTTCACATTTAACTAGACCGCTAAAAGGTGGGCGGTGTTAGAGGATGTGATCTAGAAGGGTTAAAAAGGCATTTTTCATTTCTTCTCGACTTACAGTATGGAAATATGATGGGAAATCAGCAGAGTCTACATAACCTAGCATCACATGTTTGTCAGTACTGCCCATCAGTATATAAAATAATTCCTCATGATGTCATTGATTAAATGAATGCAACAGAGAATGGATAGATGGGTTAACCCATGAAGACTTAAATCAGTCCTTGCCCTTGATTGAGTAAGCTTCTGCTTTTCAGAATGACACAGACAGCTGCACTGAATAGTGAGGTATTGATTAAGAACAGGTGCTCAGTACTGTGACCATGAAGGAAACTCACCGTGGTGTTATGGGTTGTGGGGGAGGACAAGTCACGACATTCGCCCAACAGTATGGAAGCTGCAAATATCACCACGGTCGTCACCATGGCAACCAGCAGACTCTCGAGAACTCTGGAAAAGTGCATCAGATCAACTTCCATAATTACACACTTGAATGGAAATTAGCATTACATTTCCAAATATTTGCTTTCAAAATCACAGCTGATATTGAAGACAGTGACTATCTTTGATTGACAGGCGTGAGGTTCTGGAAGAAGATGAACAGTTTTCCTGTGTTAACAGGTCATGTAGCAATCACCTGACAAACTTGGCCTTGGGGTGGATGTGCTTTATGCGATACTTGGCCAGGATCTTGTTCATGCAGTTAAAGAGCGCCCCCAGCAGGCCACCCACCACCCCCATCAGGACAAAGAAGGCCAGGTCCACTGCTGTCCACAGGTGGCAGCTCCTCTCTCCATCTGAACACTGAAGAGCAGAGTTAAAACAATACATTACTATTGATACTATAATATTAATATACAGTGGGTACGGAAAGTATTCAGACCCCTTTAAATTTTTCACTCTTTGTTTCATTGCAGCCATTTGCTAAAATCAAAAAAGTTCATTTTATTTCTCATTAATATACACTAAGCACCCCATCTTGACAGAAAAAAACAGAAATGTAGAAATTTCTGCAAATTTATTAAAAAAGAAAAACTGAAATATCACATGGTCATAAGTATTCAGACCCTTTGCTCAGTATTGAGTAGAAGCACCCTTTTGAGCTAGTACAGCCATGAGTCTTCTTGGGAATGATGCAACAAGTTTTTCACACCTGGATTTGGGGATCATCTGCCATTCTTCCTTGCAGATCCTCTCCAGTTCCGTCAGGTTGGATGGTGAACGTTGGTGGACAGCTATTTTCAGGTCTCTCCAGAGATGCTCAATTGGGTTTAGGTCAGGGCTCTGGCTGGGCCAGTCAAGAATGGTCAGAGTTGTTCCGAAGCCACTCCTTTGTTATTTTAGCTGTATGCTTAGGGTCGTTGTCTTGTTGGAAGGTGAAACTTTGGCCCAGTCTGAGGTCCAGAGCACTCTGGAAGAGGTTTTCTTCCAGGATATCTCTGTACTTGGCCGCATTCATCTTTCCTTCAATTGCAACCAGTCGTCCTGTCCCTGCAGCTGAAAAACACCCCCATAGCATGATGCTGCCACCACCATGTTTCACTGTTGGGATTGTATTGGGCTGGTGATGAGCAGTGCCTGGTTTTCTCCACACATACCGCTTAGAATTAACGCCAAAAAGTTCAATCTTGGTCTCATCAGACCAGAGAATCTTATTTCTCATAGTCTGGGAGTCCTTCATGTGTTTTTTGGCAAACTCTATGCGGGCTTTCATATGTCTTGCACTGAGAAGAGGCTTCCGTCGGGCCACTCTGCCATAAAGCCCCGACTGGTGGAGGGCTGCAGTGATAGTTGACTTTGTGGAACTTTCTCCCATCTCCCTACTGCATCTCTGGAGCTCAGCCACAGTGATCTTTGGGTTCTTCTTTACCTCTCTCACCAAGGCTCTTCTTCCACGATTGCTCAGTTTGGCTGGACGGCCAGGTCTAGGAAGAGTTCTGGTCGTCCCAAACTTCTTCCATTTAAGGATTATGGAGGCCACTGTGCTCTTAGGAACCTTGAGTGCTGCAGAAATTCTTTTGTAACCTTGGCCAGATCTGTGCCTTGCCACAATTCTGTCTCTGAGCTCCTTGGGCAGTTCCTTCGACCTCATGATTCTCATTTGCTCTGACATGCACTGTGAGCTGTAAGGTCTTATATAGACAGGTGTGTGCCTTTCCTAATCAAGTCCAATCAGTTTAATTAAACACAGCTGGACTCCAATGAAGGAGTAGAACCATCTCAAGGAGGATCAGAAGAAATGGACAGCATGCGAGTTAAATATGAGTGTCACAGCAAAGGGTCTGAATACTTATGACCATGTGACATTTCAGTTTCTCTTTTTTAATAAATTTGCAAAAATTTCTACATTTCTGTTTTTTTCTGTCAAGATGGGGTGCTGAGTGTACATTAATGAGAAATAAAATGAACTTTTTTGATTTTAGCAAATGGCTGCAATGAAACGAGTGAAAAATTTAAAGGGGTCTGAATACTATCTGTACCCACTGTATGTTATATCAAGTAACACATTCGATTTATAGAGTGCTTTTCAAGAAAGTAAAAGATCTCAGAGACAGTGTCAAAAGCAGCAGTGAATCATTGGCTGCGTTCCATTTGAACTGCGAAAGTCAGAATTTCCGAGTTCCCAGTCGGAAACTTCAACTGGAACGCTGCCTAAAGGCGGATATCCAACTTGGAAAGACGGACGAACCCCACCAACCCTGACCTTAAAATCCAAGATGGCTGCTCTTGGAGTACACATCGACAGTAGAACAGCTGTAGTAATATGCTATTTATTAGCACTTCTGTCTTACTTGTGTATCATTAAATCCGTCATACATACAGTAGTGTCCAACTTCTATCAGTGGACATGTTGCTACTGGGTTTGCATGAGCAAAATACGGGCATAATGCGTTTTTATCGACTGATATTGCTAACAATGGCTAACCTGTGCATCTCTATGTCCATCCACAACTTAATCTCTCATTCTGCTGCAGCAAACTGCAGAATGTGTTGGGTGCCCCATTATGTTTGCATGCTCATGGACCTCTTATGGTTGCGGTTTTATACTGTCATTAACTTTCTGCTGACTCTTAACCAGTAGGGGCAGCTAGTGATAACACAGCTGATGACATCTCCAACCCCCCCCGGCTGCTATTCTGTCCCCACTGTGCAAAGGTAACAGTCTGCAGCGTGTTTGGCTAACAGCTAACCCTAACCACTAGTACACACACTGCTAAATGTCGCACCACTCAGCTGCTGCTAAGCGGACAGACAGTTTTTAAGCAATGACTTTGAACAGATCGCTTGCATACATCGCTGCATGTTTTTGAGTTTGAATGAAGTGTGCTTTACAATACCTTTAAGGAACAGTGTGTAAGATTTAGTGTGTTTGTGTCTATGTGTGTGTGTATGTTTGTGTGTGTGCGTTTGTGTGTATGTTTTTGTGTGTATGTGTGTGTTTGGGTGTGTGCGTGCGTTTGTGTCTGTGTGTGTTTGGGTGTGTGTTTGTGTTTGTGTGTGTTTCGGTGTGTGTTTGGGTGTGTGTTTGTGTCTATGTGTGTTTGGGTGTGTGTGTGTTTGGGTGTGTGTTTGTGTCTGTGTGTTTGTGT